GCACCAACTGACAAAGTTTTATGATCATAGGCCTTAAAGTGTCCAAAATATGCCTCCAAATCAATTTGAAAACAAAAGCCCGTAAAATTAAAAAAGTAGGTCACCGTGGACCTACTTTTGTATTAACATGATGTCAAGTTCTGAGATGCATCAACTTACAAGATTTGATGATCCTAGTCTTTATAGTAAGCAAAATATACACGTTTTTAATAAGTGTAAATTTTGGTCAACTTTGAACTGACCTTGAGACGATGCCCAGGGTCAAACCCAGGGTCATGCCTTGAACAATTTTTAATTTTCAACATATCCTAACCCTTGTATGTAAGTTTGGTGAAAATCTGCCCGGTGGTTCTGGAGAAGAAGATTTTTTAGCAACCAGTACTTTTGGTTTTATTTTCGTGATTATCTCCCCTTGTTTTAGGGTCCCAGCCCTAGTTTTAGTATAAATGGTAGCCCTTGGCCCAAGGATACCCTGTGACAAATTTGACAATAATTGGCCAAGGGGTTCTTGAGTTATGGCCAATTTTCTAAAAAGTTACCGCACACCGCACGACGCACACCGCACAGATGGCCATAGCATTAGCTCTTTGAGCCTTTGGCTCAGAAGAGCTAAAAACAGAATGTATAAATTAACGACCTTGAACTTTGACCTTTTGACCTAAAAATCAATAGGGGTCTTCCATGGGCCACAGAGAGTTGTTATGTAAAACTTAATTTCGAAAGCTCAACAGATTCTCGAGATATCGCGCGGAAACAAAAGTGTTATAACAGACAGAATTTGCAAATTTATGACCTTGATCTTTGACCTTTTGACCTCAAAATCAATAGGGGTCTTCTCTAGTCCATAGGAAGATGCTATGCCAAATTTAATTGCGAAAGCTCAAAGGGTTCTCGAGATATCGTGTGGAAACAAAAGTGTTACAGACAGACAGAAAGACAGACGGACGGACGGACAAACCCAAATTAATATCCCCCACTTTTCAAGCGGGGGACAAAAAGAAGGCACCCCTACTATATTCACATTGAATAAACGACCCTCCAAAGACAGAGGATTTGAGTTTTGATGGTCACCATGCTCATTCTGGAAAAGGATATCAACTAGAGCAAAGCTCTTTGCAACAAGTAGGTCTTCCGTCCTGTTTGACCGGAAGTAACTTTTATTTGAAAAAAAAGAGAAATGACATCTCTAATGATTTAAATCTTACAAATCTATGTTGAAAATTGCAAAAGTAAGCCATTTTTTGCTACTTCCTGTTTGACCGGAAGTGACGTCGACAGACGGAAAATAAAGTTTTATGCTTCCAGTGACAAATATTTCCCCAAAACATGTCAAAAATGGCAAAAATATGCAGTTTGGGACTACTGCCAGTTCGGCCGGAAGTGACGTCACAGGACGTATTTTGATGACATCAGTAGATTTTACCAGAGATTTTCAACAACTTTGCTTTTTTGATGTATAACAAATTCTCAATATCTTTTGAGATATCTGGAAAAAAATTTTGGCCCCTCTAGATCCCTTAATTTAGGGGTCAGTCCTTTTTCCGAGATAACATTTGAAAGATCTTCTAATTCTGCACAAAATGTTCTATTTATTTTAACAAAATATTTTTAGTTTAGAAGATAAAAGACAAAATATGAGTAATTTTTTGCTCTTTTAAGCGTTCTAATTTTTGACCCCTATATGGAGCCATTTTGATTAGAGAAATCGAAAAACAAAAACCAATGTGCACAACTTCAATTCTTCTATTATCTAAAATCAGTAGAATTTCTGCTCCAGCTTTAGCCGTCTCTGAGCCTTTGTCTGGAAACGAAAGCCTATAAATTTTCGTTTAAAGGGAAATAACTCAAAAGCGGAAGTGACTTTTTGAAATTTTAGACAGCATTCTGATAGAGTTTTGTAACTTCTAGTATCTCTGAAAATTTGAGCGAAATCAATTGAGAAATGAATGAGATATGAGGCTTCAAAGTTGGCGTCTAGGAAGTAGAAGAAAAAAAAAAAAAGAATAATAATCTTTACCAACAGAATCAGTAGGAGGTCTTCCGTTGGAAATGGAAGACCTTAATTAGCCATTATCCACCCATACTATTGCCAAGATTTGGCCATTTCTGAAAAATGGACTGTTTTTGTTATAAATAATAACTTGCATGGTAAGAAATATCAGAGTCTGAAAAAACTTGAAGCTTCTGTGGCAGAACGGTACAGTGCATTTCATGTGACCGCCTATATCACGTGATCAGTGCATGGGCAGAACAGCTGCAGATGCATGTTAAAATCGGAGAGGACTACTTTGAAAAAATTTCAACATTGAAAACTTATATCATTTTTTTTCAAAGTTATTCAATTAGTTCACAAACTTTTTGATCACCCATTGTATAATCCCCAACATGAGCAGACCATAAAATATAAATCTCAACATATAAAGCAGAGACTAAAATATAAATGTCAACATGAGCAGAGCCTACAATACAAAACAAAAATAAAGACCATGCAGAATGTAACCTAAAATTTAAATCTCTGACAATAACAGTAACCAAGAGTATAAACTTCTACATCTATACATGTACAAGAGGCCCATGGGCCTTATAGGTCACCTGAGCATCATGTAACAACTTTCCAGCGATTGAATTTAGTTCCTGTTTGAAACCAGAGGCCATGACATTCATAAGTTTGAAATAGGCACCATTCCTCATCATTACTATACACTTTGCATACTTAGTTTGGTTACTTTATACCCATAGGCAGAGTGCGAGAACACAAAACTAGAGGCACATGGGCAACATTGATCACCTGAGCACAAGGGCTAGGAAAAAGCACAAATCAGTTCACTATTAAACCAGAAGTCTCTGTCGAGACTGAAGCTCTACTGGTTTGTTCTTATAGCAATGGAAGGGAAAAGTTCTTAAGCAGTTGGGAATTGAAACTTTACCACAGCAATAAAAAGAATAATGATCCTTGATTAATCTCCTTATGTTCTTAGTATAGTCTACTTGCATGCCACATTATATTATAATCAGATTTAAACTGCAGGAGGAGTAGCATTTTGAGAGTTTTTAACAGAAATTTCTATTTTTAGTTACCATGGCAACATCTTTTATTGAAATCAAAAACCGATATATAGAATTATGTATCTTAGCGTAGTCTACTTGTGTGCCAAGTTATATTGAAATCAGACCAAAACTGTAGGAGGAGTAGCATTTTTAAAGAATTTCACAGAAATTTCTATTTTTAGTGACAACGGCAACACCGTTCATCGAAATCAAAAACTGATATACAGAATTATGTATCTTAGAGTAGTCTACTTGTGTGCCAAGTTATATTGAAATCAGACCAAAACTGTAGGAGAAGTAGCATTTTGAAAGAATTTCACAGAAATTTCTATTTTTAGCAACAACGGCAACATCGTTCATTGAAATCAAAAATCGATACACAGAATTATGTATCTTAGTGTGGTCTACTTGTGTGCTAAGTTATATTGAAATCAGACCAAAAATGTAGAAGGAGTAGTATTTTGAAAGAATTTCACAGAAATTTCTATTTTTAGTAACCACGGTGTTATGGGTCAGAATTACCCTAAATGCCAGCAAAGATCAATAACACAATTTAAACTTAACAATAATTTATTTACAGTAATATAAGTATATGAAACATAAAGTACAAACTTAGCAAGAATCTAAAAATACATACATCAGAGTGTCCGTTGCTGCACACAATGTCCCAGTGAAAATATATCCCATTTATATCTCAATAGTGCTTATACGACAAAGTATTCACAATTCTTCTATTTGCATCGAATTGACAGGGTATTTATACAGTATTATAAATCTAGAATATTCTAGAAAATGTTAAAACATGATATTACTGGAACAATCTGGACATACACAAAATTTAAGAATGTTCTAGATAAAATGACCAAACATGTTGACCACTCTGGAATGTTCAAGAAACTTAATGTTACTAATTATATACATAATAAAACAATACACATCTCACAACAACGGCAACACCGTTCATGGAAATCAAAAACCGATATACAGAATTATTTATCTTTGTGTAGTCTACTTATGTGCCAAGTTATATTGAAATCAAACCAAAACTGTAGGAGGAGTAGCATTTTGAAAGAATTTCACAGAAATTTCTATTTTTAGTAACAACGGCAACACCGTTCATCGAAATCAAAAATCGATATACAGAATTATGTATCTTAGTATGGTCTACTTGTGTGCCAAGTTATATTGAAATCAGACCAAAACTGTAGGAGGAGTAGCATTTTGAAAGAATTTCACAGAAATTTCTATTTTTAGAAACCACGGCAACACCGTTCATCGAAATCAAAAACCGATACATAGAATTATGTATCTTAGTATGGTCTACTTGTGTGCCAAGTTATATTGAAATCAGACCAAAACTGTAGGAGGAGTAGCATTTTGAAAGAATTTCACAGAAATTTCTATTTTTAGTAAACCACGGCAACACCGTTCATCGAAATCAAAAACCAATACATAGAACTATGTATCTTAGTGTAGTCTACTTGTGTGCCAAGTTATATTGAAATCAGGCCAAAACTGTAGGAGGAGTAGCATTTTGAAAGATTGTTTACAGACAGACAGACAGACAGACGGACAGACAGCCAGACAGACAGACAAACGGACGGACGACGGACGCATTACTATCGCATAAGCTCTTCTGGTCTCTGACCAGTAGAGCTAAAAATTTGCTTGGGGGAGATTTAAATTTTATACTAATTGAGGATGCATCCATATCAAGTTTTGGCCCTTAATATTGACAATTTAGAATCTCCTTTGCCCAGGGATGCTTTGTATCAATCTTGTTTAAAATTACCTGAGTGATTCATGAAAAAAATTGAAAATGTGAAAAGTTTACAAAGGGACAGACAGCTAGACAGACATATAAACAGCTACACAGACACATGGATGATGGACAATGGGTGATCAGAAAAGCTCGAGCTTTCACCTCAGGTGAGCTAAATAAGACAACATACAAGGTATCTCCTATTCTGTATTGCAAGTCTTGTTAGGCATAGTAATTCCTTCTGCATGCAGACTTGTACTGCATCTGTTTGGATGGGTAGCACCTGGAGTACCGAGAGTCTGGTGGTGTGGATAGGTTCTATGTATTCAAACTCATTAAAGGAGGGCCTCTCTTGTGTCCACTTTGTCAGCATATCCTCAAGTGGTTTGGATTCTTGCCTGTAAATACAACAATAGACCAATGGCTCTTTACAATCTTCAGAGATTTGTTAACAGATTAAATACCTCAGACTATAACTAACGCTCCCCACCTGGGACTGGACACCTATTCTCCATTAATCTGTCCAATTAACAAAAGAAAAGATGTCTGGGAGCCAATGCTCATTAGCAATGCCCCACTTTATCATGTTTATAATACAAGTTCAGTTAGGGACAGATGTACGGATAAACAGGAAGTTGATATCTGATTTGAACAAAAATGAATCCAACTATATAGCAAGTCTCAGCAAAGAATGTGCTAAAATTTCAAGCATCTGCAATGAGTAGTTGCTGAGAAAACAGCTACAAAAATTTATTTTTGGTATGGACAGACACACGGATAAACAGGAACTTGACATTGGATTTTAACAAAATTGTATCCTACCATATGGTATGCCTTAATTAGCAAAGAATATATGCTGAAATTTTTAGCATCCGTGATTAGTAGTTGCTGAGAAAACTGAGACAAAAATTTGTTGTGTTTGATATATACAGATGCACAGATAAACAAGTAGTTGACATCAGATTTGAACAAAAATGGATCCCACCATATGGCTAGCCTCAGCAAAGTATGTGCTAAAATTTCAAGCATCTGCAATGAGTAGCTGCTGAGAAAACTGCAACAAAAATTTGTTCTGTATGGTACAGACAGATAGAGGCAGTGTACGAAATTCCCGTCCGCCCGCACGCCCGAGACGTACTAAATCGGGAGCGGACGTATAAATTTTACTGTGCATCAGCCCGCTTGGATGCACTAATTTTACCCTATTCCCTGCATATTTTGCAGATAAATGGTTTGAGAAGGTAAAGATCAAATTTTTCAATATACATGCAAGCCATAATTCCCCACAGACAACAAAAAATAAACAAAATAAAATCAATAAATCTGTAAAGATATGAAGAACACCACAATCATCTTTTAATCTGAATTTCCTCTGTTTTCATGCATGAAACGATATCTTCGACTTTTCGCTGGTGTATAGTGCATTTTTAAAAAAACTTACAGGATCAGACAGATATACAACGTATTCACACGTGTTAACTTAAAAGAATCAATTGGTATTAATATTTGAATAATGATCATATGTCGTATATTAGACAAATTAAGCTAGTGTACTAAATAACATGAACTTTCACCCAAGGTAACATGGTGAGCTTTTATTCATTGTTTGTTATAACTAACTGTTGTTTTTAATTAAATTAAGAATAAACTTACGTTAGATTAAATCATGTAGCAATATTTTTACCCTTTTAATAATTTTATTAAAAAAAATAATTGAATATAGAAATAACACATTCATTTTTTTTTAAAATATAAGTTTAATGGCAAATAAAACTTTAAATTATGAGTGTTAAAAATTGCTCTTACGTACTGAAATTATAATTGTTCTTTCTTTTTAATTAAAATAAAGCAGACTCATTTCATCATTAGTGTTTGTTTATATACCTAGTATATATAAACGTTGATATTAAATATCATTTTTATAAATGTAAAAAAAAAATGAAAAAAAAAAAACGACAATGACTTTTTTTCCTAAATCCATATTGAAAGTGAACAATTAATGAAATTTTAAGTATTAAGTCTTAGAATTTACTGTGTACCAAATTCCAGTGGATGTGAAAAAAAAATATACAAGTTTGAGTGTGCGTATCCTGAAGTTCATAAATTGAATTTTAGTATGCGGGCTTGCTGATTTTCAGCAGGGCTGACAGATTTTTTGAGTAGTCAGCCCTGCTGGTCCACCTGAATTTTTTCCGAGTTTCGTACACTGATAAAGGCACCTTTTTTCATCATAAATATATATACTTAGATCATTGGCATAATACCCAGGTGCAAAGAAAAAGATTTTCAAAGAATTAAAGTATTTTCACTATATAATCAAAAGACCGCACTTACACAAAATGGGTAAACCCCTGATACAGGGGCCATAAAATTTACAAATCAGGTTGAGGCACTCTTGCTCATTATAACCATATACTAATTTAGTTTATTTGATATCCAGGAGCAGAGAGGAAGATTTTCAAAGAGTTAATGTTTTTTTCACTATATAATCAAAAGAGACCCGCCCTAACACAGAACCCCTCACACTGGAGCCATAAAATTCACAATTTTGAAAGAGGCACTCTAACTCATTATAACCATGTACTTAGTTAGTTTATTTAATCCCCTTCCTTGCAGTAACGCATTTTAACGCATATACAATTCCCTATTTCTAACGCAATATCACGCTTATACCATTTCCCCGCAATCACACATTTTCACGCACTTAAAAAAGTCCATTTAATATTCAATTTATTATCAGATTCCTTCTATTTTATACTTGCTTAAATCTCATAAAATAAGAAAAGTTATTTTCTTAATAAAATGTTACATCATGATATTATTTACGCTAAACTTTAGAGAAACTTGTACCACGCTATAAAGTGCTTGCGGGGAAATGGTAACATAATATTTCTATGATATATGACTAAAGTATATGTTGCATAACAATTCAGTAAGTTGTAAAGAGTTAATACCCAGGAGCAGAGAAGAAGATTTTCAAAAGAATAAATGCATTTTCACTATATAATCAAAAGAGCCCCGCCCTAACATCAGAACCCCTAACCCTGGGCCCATAAAATTCACAATTTTGGAAGAGGCACTCTTACTCATCATAACTATGTACTTAGTTAGTTTATTTAATACCCAGGACAGAGAAGATTTTCAAAGAATTAATGCATTTTCACTATATAATCTATAGAGCCCCGCCCTTATATCAGAACCCCTGACCCCGGGGCCATGAATTTTACAATTTGTGTAGAGGATGCAATGCTCATTACATTCATACCAACAGCTTGACTGCTTGATGTCAAGGAGTAGAGAAGAAGATTTTTACAGATTTCATTAATCTTCGTGGTTTTGGCCCCACCCCTCAGGCCCCAGGGGGGCGGGGACCATAAAATTCACAATTAATGTTCCCCTTCACCCATAGATGCAGTATACCAAAATTGGTTGAAATTGGTTCAGTGGTTTCAGAGAAGAAGCTGAAAATGTTCAAATGTTAACAAACGATGCACGACACACAACACATGACGACAGACGAAAAAGGATAACAATAGGTCACCTGAGTGACACAGGTGACCTAAAAACACTGACGTATATGCAAAAATTTCTTTTTTAAGAATGAATTTTAACAAAATCAGGTTCAAATTTATATATTTTTTGTATTTTTCCAGACTAACCGCTTACAGATTTTTTAACCAATTGCCATCGTTCCGACTGAGTAATCGGCTACAAATTACCAGCTGCCCTAATATTTACGAATGGAAAAAAAAAGAATATTTCTAATCTAGATTCCGATAACTTAGGGTTATAATTTGCTTTAATACATTTTTAAAAATCTGTAAAAAATGAGTTGGTACAGTAGTAATATTTTGCTGATTGTAAACCGCTGTTGTTGCATCACGGTCAGCAGTGCCAGCTCTGCTAGATCTACACTATAATTATATACAGAAAGTCTCGTCTGTGAATCAGAAGGATCATTATTTTCAGTAAAAATTTAAATTAATGATCATTTTATATTATGCCCTAGCTATAAGAGGACTGATTATTGAGATACTTATGAAATTGTAATTTTAGGGAGAAAAATGATTAGGACTATGTCCATCTGCATGTTGCAGACATGATATATTAATTTTGTAACTGTGTATGTCACCTTTTTTTTCACTCAATCTCTGTCAGATTATGATAGATGTTTATTGTTTACCTATTAACTTTGCAAAATTTAAAGGTTGTAATCATTAAACAAGAGGCCCACGGGCCTTATAGGTCACCTGAGTATTGTGTAACAACTTTCAAACAATTAAATTTGGTTCGTGTTTTAAACCAGAGGCCACGAAATTCACAATTCACAATTTTGAAATAGGCACCATTGCTTCTCATATTTATAGACTTAGCATGCTTACTCTATTTACTTAATACCCAGAGGTAGATCAGAGTAACATTAAGAGAAAATGCTATTCTACTTTATAACCAGTTGTGCACCTCATATGAGCCCAAAGGAACCACTGATCCTGGGGCCACATATTTCAAAATTTTGCAAATTTTATCATAAAATGGTTGATTAATACCAAAGAGCAGATTTCAAAGTATTAATTTATTTTCAGACTTTGTATCCCCCCCACCCCCCCCACCCCCAGACACAGGGGGGGTGGGGGGGCATAAAAAATAACCATTAATTTTGCTAGATGGACCTTTCTTCATCATAAATATATATACTTGGATCATTGGCATAAAACCCAGGAGCAAAGGAAACATTTTCAAAGAATTAATGAATTTTCACAATATACCCGGTAATCAATAGAGCTCCATCCTAACACCAGAACCCATGACCCTGGGGCCATAAAATTCACAATTTTGGAAGAGGCACTCTTGCTTATCATAACTATGTACTAAGTTTATTTAATATTCAGGAGCAGAGAAGACGATTTTAAAAGAATTAATGCATTTTCACTATATGATCAATAGAGCCCCGCCCTAACACAAGAACCCCTGCCCTGGGGCCATAAAATTCACAATTTTGGAAGAGGCACTCTTGATCAACATAACTATTTACTAACATAGTTTATTTAATACCCAGAAGCAGAGAAGAAAATTTTTAAAGAATTAATGCATTTTCACTATATGATCAATAGAGCCCCGCCCTAACACCAGAATCCCTGATCCTTGGGACATAAAATTCACAATTTTGGAAGTGGCACTTTTGATCAACATAACTATTTACTTACATAGTTTATTTAATACCCAGGAGCGAGAAGAAGATTTTCAAAGAATTAATGCATTTTCACCATATAATCAATAGGGCCCCGCCCTAACACAAGAACCCCTGACCCTGGGCCATAAAATTCACAATTTTGGAAGAGGCACTCTTGCTCATTATAACTTTGTGCTTGGATAGTTCATTTAATATCTAGGAGCAGAGAAGAAGATTTTCAAAGAATTAATGCATTTTCACTATATTATCAATAGGGCCCCACCCTAACACCAGAACCCCTGACCCTGGGGCCACAAAATTCACAATTTTGAAAAAGGCACTCTTGCTCATCATAACTATGTACTTAGTTAGTTTTTTTAATACCCAGAAGTAGAGAAGAAGATTTTCAAAGAAATCATGCATTTTTACAATATAACCAATAGAGCCCTGCCCTAACACCAGAACCCCTGACCCTGGGGTCATAAAATTCACAATTTTGGTAGAGGCACTCTTGCTCATTATAACTATGTGCTTGGTTAGTTTATTTAATACCCAGGAGCAAAGAAGAAGATTTTCAAAGAAATCATGCATTTTCACTATATTATTTATATAGCCCCGCCCTAGCACTAGAACCCCTGACCCTGGGGCCATGAATTTCACAATTTTGGTAGAGGACTCAATGCTCATTACATTCATGCCAACAGTTTGCCTGCTTGATGTCCAGGAGTAAAGAAGAAGATTTTTAAAGACTGCAATAATTTTGGTGGTTTTGGCCCCACCCCTCAGGCCCCAGGGGGGCGGGGACCATAAAATTCATAATTTTTGTTCCCCTTCACCCAGAGATGCTGTATACCAAATTTGGTTGAAATTGGTTCAGCGGTTTCAGAGAAGAAACTGAAAATGTTCAAATGTTAACACACGACGCACGACACATGATACACGACGACGGACGAAAACGGATAACAATAGGTCACCTGAGTTACTCAGGTGACCTAAAAACTTTTAGTCGGTGAAAATTAAATGTTTTTAACCATTTTAAAAAAGACACATACAACAAGAGGCCCAAGGGCATTGAATCACTCTTCTGATAAATTGTACAATCTATAACTTCTATTAGAAGCCTCCAACTCTATTAGAATCATAAGACCCAAAATGCATCAACTTACAAAGTTTGATAATATTTAGCCAGTTAAGACTGAAGATATTATAATATAATTATAAAATACCATAAGTAGGTCACAGTGACCTACCTTTTGATTGAAATTTTCTGAGGACTCAAGATACATTAATTGACAAAAGCTGATGATTCTAATTAAATAAGTACATGAGATATTCAAAAGTAGGTCACCATGACCTACTTTTTGGTCAACATTCTCTGAAAACTCAAGATGCATCATCGGACAAAGTTTTACGATTCTAAGCCAATAAGTACCAGAGATAATCAAATATAGCCATCAAATGTCAAAAGTAGGTCACGGTGACCTACTTTTTGGTCGACATTATTCAAACACCCATAATGCCTAAATTGACAAAATTTGATGATTCTAAGCCAATAAGTACCTGAGATATTCAAAATTAGGTCACTGTGACCTACTTCTTGTTGGACATTCAATGAATCCCTAAAATGCCTCAACTGACAAAGTTTGATAATTCCGAGCCAATAAGTACCAGATATAATTAAATATAGCCATAAAATGTCAAAAGTAGGTCACAGTGACCTACTTTTTGGTCGACGTTCCCTGAAAACCCATGGTGCCTAAACTGACAAAGTTTGATGATTCTAAGCTTATTCGTACCTGAGATATTCAAAAGTAGGTCACTGTGACCTACTTTTTGGTCGACATTCTCCGAAAACCTAAGATGCCTCAACTGACAAAGTTTGATGATTCTTAGCCAATAGGTGCCTGAGATACTTAAATATAGCCATAAAATGTCAAAAGTAGGTCACTGTGACCTACTTTTTGGTCAACGTTCTCTGAAAACCCAAGATTCATCAACTTACAAAGTTTAGGTCAATAAGTACCAGAGATACTTAATTATAGTCACAAAATGTCAAAAGTAGGTCACCATGACCTACTGTTAGGTTGTCACTCTCCGAAAACCCAAGATGCATCAACTTACAAAGTTTGATGATTCTAAGCCAATAAGTACTGGAGATACTTAAATAAAGCCATAAAATGTCAAAAGTAGGTCACCGTGACCTACTTTTAGGTCGTCACTCTCCGAAAACCAAATATGCATGGACTCACAAAGTTTGATGATTCTAAACCAATAAATACCTAAAATACTTAAATATAGCCATAAAATGTCGAAAGTAGGTCATCGTGACCTACATTTTGGTCGACATTTTTCAAAGATCCAAGATGCATCTACTGACCAAGTTTGATGATCGTAGGTCTGAGGGTAATCAAAATATGTGTTTTAAACAATTTGAAAACAAATGTCGGCAAAATTCAAAAAATAGGTCACAGTGACCTACTTTTTCATAAATATGTTTTAAGGTCCAAAGATGCATCAAAGTACAAGATTTGATGATTCTAAACATCCCAGTGTCTGAAATAATGGGATTTAATGTTTTTAAAAGGATAAGTCATAAAGTTCAAAAAGTAGGTCACTGTGACCTACTTTTAAGTTCACATTGTTTGAGGACCCAAGATGCATCAACTGACAAAGTTTGATGACCATAGGCCTTAAAGTGTCCAAAATATGCCTTGAAATCGATTTGAAAACAAATCCCTGCAAAATTTAAAAAGTAGGTCACCGTGACCTACTTTTGAGTTAACATGATGTGAAGTCCTGAGATGCATCAACTTACAAGAATTGATGATCCTAGTCTTCATAGTAAGCAAAATATACACGTTTTTATTAATTGTAAATTTAGGTCAACTTTGAAGTGACCTGGAGACCACGCCCTTTGCCCCAGGGTAATTCCCCGTGCAAATTTTAATCTTCGACAGATCCTGATCCTTGTATGTAAGTTTGGTGATAATCTGCCTGGTGGTTCTGGAGAAGAAGATTTTTTAGCAACCAGTACTTTTGGTTTTGCTTTCCTGATTATCTCCCCTTGTTTAAGGGTTCCAACCCTTATTTTAGTATAAATGGTAGCCCTTGGGCGAAGGATACCCTGTGACAAATTTGGTACTGATTGGCCAAGGGGTTCTTGAGTTATGGCCCATATTCTAACAAGAGGCCCATGGGCCACATCGCTCACCTGAGAAGCTTTGACCATTCTGTTCATTACCAGATTTCCCCCTTGTAATACATAATGCATCCCAACCCTACCCCACTGATCATAATTTAGACATTTTGAAATCTACACTACCCCAGGATCCTTCCATGTGCACGTAAGTTTAAGCTTTTCTGGCTCAGTGGCTCTTGAGAAGAAGATTTTCAAAGATTTTTTCTATATATTTCAATGTAAAACTTTGATTCCCCATTGTGGCCCCGCCCTTCCCCCGGAGGTCATGATTTGAACAATTTAGAATCTACACTATACCAGGATGCTTCCACATAAGTTTCCTATATATTTCAATGTAAAATTTTGATTCCCCATTGTGGCCCCGCCCTTCCCCCGGGGGTCACGATTTGAACAATTTAGAATCTACACTACCCCAGGATGCTTCCACATAAGTTTCAGCTTTTCTGGCCCAGTGGTTCTTGAGAAGAAGATTTTTAAAGATTTTTCCTATATATTAAAACTTTGATTCCCCATTGTGGCATGTAAAATTTTGGATGCTTCCACATAAGTTTCAGCTTTTCTGGCCCAGTGGTTCTTGAGAAGATTTTCAAAGATTTTTCCTATATATTTCTATGTAAAATTTTGATTCCCCATTGTGGCCCCGCCCTTACCCCGGGGGTCATGATTTGAACAAATTAGAATCTAAAATATGCCAGGTTGCTTCCACATAAGTTTCAGCTTTTCTGGCCCAGTGGTTCTTGAGAAGGTTTCCAAAGATTTTTTCTATATATTTCAATGTAAAACTTGGATTCCCTATTGTGGCCTTGCCCAACCCCTTGGGGGTCATGATTTGAACAATTTAGAATTCTACACTACCCCAGTATGCTTCCACATAAGTTTCAGCTTTTCTGGCCCAGTGGTTCTTGAGAAGAAGATTTTCAAAGATTTTTCATACATATTTCTATGTAAAACTTTGATTCCCCATTGTGGCCCCGCCCTTCCCCAGGGGGTCATGATTTGAACAATTTAGAATCTACACTATATCAGGATGCTGCCACATAAGTTTCAGCTTTTCTGGCCCAGTGGTTCTTGAGAAGAAGATTTTTTAATGACCCAACCCTATTTTTGTCTTTTCTTGATTATCTCCCCTTGCGAGGGGATATGTCCCTTCATTTTAACAATTTAAATTCCCATTCATCCAAGGATGCTTTGTACCAAGTTTGGTCAAAATTGGCCCAGTGGTTCTTGAGAAGAAGTCGAAAATGTGAAAAGTTTACAGACGGACGGACAGACAGACGGACGGACGACGGACAAAATGTGATCAGAAAAGCTCACTTGAGCCTTCAGCTCATGTGAGCTAAAAAGTAAGTGTTTCTATTGTCTTTTATTTACAAGTAAATTCTTTTCTAAGAAATTTAGGGGCAATACGACACTACTAGTCCTATCTTGTTCTTTATTACAGACAGACAAACAAGGGTAAAACAGTATAACATCCTCTCCTTCTGATCGGGGGTATAATACATATGAATTCAAATATTATATTGTTAGGAACATAAACAGATTTGTTAAACAACAAAGATTTTCATAAAATATAGAGCATATAAAATACTGTAGACCAACTTTTATGCACCTGTGAGAAATATCCGTGAGTTTCATGACCTTCTTTAACATGCAACTATTTATTGACGTGAACCAATTATTATAATTTGTATTTGTAGAAAATGTTTAATCAGTCGTGAAAATTAATCGTCCTGGATTGACTTCAAAATGAATAATCATGAATAAAAGATGACATAGTAGTTGGTTTACAGTATCTTACTGATGGTATAAATAGCTCAAACCATTTTCTTTCTCAGTTAAAACAAACCCTGTAATTGCTCTGACAGCCTGGTCAATCTGGTAGATACACTGCAGATCAGAGAGGATGGGATACAGACATCTACAGCTCTCCATGCTGGCATCTCGTAATCTGTCTAAAGCATTTTTCCTTGTAGGTAAAAAAAAAAGTAAAAGTTTAAAATCTTACTTCATATAACAATTTCAAACACAACAAAAAAATATCGCTTTAGTTTTAAATTTACATGAATTTTTTCACAGAACAAAGTAGAACTGTCCAAAAGGGACAAATACCCTCACTGAGTTTTTCAGAGAAGGTGCCAAATCATGAATATGTGATAGATCTAAGAGGTATTCACAATTTCACAAACATTTAGAATAAAAATAAAATTAATTGCTTATTATATTTTTTTTATGAATGAAACTAATGTGCAGCCTACTAAGAAATCAATAATAAAAATATTGACCGGACATGAATTATAAACTTTTTTTTCTTTCAGAGACCTTGAAATTGCCCAAATGACCTTGGGTCAAAGTCATGAATCACCCTCAGGTCATGAACAATTTTTGTGAGAAGTGGTTTATTCCAATGTTCCTTTGTAAGAAAGATATGCACCCAAACTATAAACTTTTTTCCGTTAGTGACCTTGAACTTGCACAAATGACCTTGATTCAAGGTCTGAACAAACAGGCAGCAAGACAGAATTGAGCAAATTCAGATATAGTCAAACCTGTATTAAGCAGTCATCTACAGGATGCATTAAAAGTGACCTTAATGGAGAGGTGACCTTTAATCTTTTTTAAAGGAATTTATATTCAAATGCATGTATGTCAGTTTTGTGTTTATACAAGTTTATCTTTTGAAAAAGATAGGTGAGCTAGCGCCGTGGCAATTTTTAAAACACAGAAAGGAGGATCCGTGATCAAGTGATTTATTTTGCTGAATTCTTTAATTTTTATCGAGGCTGGAGAGTGATAAAGTTATAATTGTTTTGTGAAGTGTATTTTATAGACACATAGGTAAAGAAATAAGGTTTTTTTGGTGTTGACCTATTGTAGTTTTGGTGCAACGGAACATTTATAACATTTACTGGAGAGGGGGGAGAGTCTATATAATATGGAGAAGATGCCAATTGAGGCATCATATGAGCTGGTTTAAGAATAGAATTTCTTGGCAATGTGGCAAATAAAATATAGGGGAGTTAAAAAGAATATAGAAAACAAGCAGAGCTTTTTTAAAAAGCTGTCTTTAGCAAAACCTTAAACAGTAAACTGATCTACACCTATCAGGCCTTATTATTCTTTTGAATCTCTTATATATTTCTACCACGGTTATCACTCGGTCATCTCCGTAAACTTTGACTGGCTGAGATCTTTCGTACCTTCTTCAGACAAGAAAGGGGTAAAGAATAATAACAAATTCTAAAGCCTGCAAGAAATAAAAATCAAATTTTATTTACAATGAAATTAAAGAGACCTTTTTAGTTATTTCTATAAAAAATATCAGGTTATTTAGAGTTAATTACTGCTGATTTTATTGTTCGCTTTGTCATATTTTAAGATTGTAAATCTTGAAAAATTGTTAAGTCATAGAAGTCATAACTTAGATTATCAGAAAGTTATCTCCCTTGCCTTGAACACCATTTCAACCAATGAAATAATTGAAAACAATTTCTACCGATCACAAAAGAGAGGAAGTGCATAGTCCGAAGACTGTAAAAAACTTCAACTATATACATGTAATACCAAGGAAGACGGTAAAGATGTGAAGTAACTTGGTCCTTTGGATCATCTTTGTCAAGAAATGTTAGGATAAAAGCCAATACACATCAGATTTTTTAAAAAATAAATAATGGATTTATTCGTTATTTTTTGTGTAAAGTCTTGTTTCTGGAATTTGTAAGATTGGCTGAATTGACCAATCAGATATTAGGGTCTATCTTTGGTTGTGCTTATAGACTTAAAAAAAAAACTCCCTGTCTTTGTTTAGAACAATCAGATAATGACTCGGGCTTTTCCATCAGAAAAAAAAACAACAAATATGTAGTTGTCTTTTTTTTCTTCCCCAGAATGCACGACCATGAAGCAGAGCATGCATATTCAAGGAATTTGGACTAATGTAGTTGCTAAGTAGTACTCAAGAGCACTAGCAATTATGTATTTTACTACAAAATATACAAGAAAGTTAGGTATTGGACATTAGTGATTTCACTTTTTTGTATTCAGTAGATGCATGACTTTTGTAGATGAATTCAAACTAATTTTAATGAATTCAAAAACATTTAAAATAAAATACCTGTATATTGAATCTTACAGAATGTTGCATATTATCCCTCATCCCTCTTTATTTAAAACTGACTTACACACAATTTGATACAAGTGAGGTCAAAGTCAAATAAAAGGTCAAGGTAAAAAATGTTGATACGGTTGAATTGCTCTCATCAGTATGAAACAGCATATGAAGTTTGATAAAATATCTTCAACAGTATTTTTAAATCGGAGCTAAACACTAATTAAAGATAAGTGAGGTCAAAGTAAAGGTCAATGTCAAATAAAAGATCAAGGTCAAAATGTTGATGCAGTTGAATTGCTTACATCAGTATGCATCAGCATATGAAGTTTGACACTGATTTAGGAAAAGTGAGGTCAAAAGGTCAAAGGAAACATCAAAGTAAAAAATGTTGATGCAGTTGAATTGCTCTCATCAATATGTATCAACATATGAAGTTTGATAAAAATATCTTGAATGTTATCTTTAAGACTGAGCGAAACACTAATTAAAGATAAGTGAGGTCAAGGTCAAAGGAAAGGTCAAGGTCAAAAAATGTTGATGCAATTGAATAGCTCTCATCATTATATATCAACATGTGAAGTTTGATAACACCATCTTGAATGACATGTTTAATTTACAGTTTAAAACTGAGCTAAACACTAATTTATGAAAAGTGTGCTCAAGGTCAAAGGAAAGGTCAAGGTCAAAAAATGTTGATGCAGTTGCATAGCTCTCATCAATATCTATCAGCATATGAAGTTTGATGAAAATATCTTGGATAGTTTCTTTGAAACTTAGCTTTGAACAGAGCTAAACGCAAAGTGTGACGGAAAGGATGGAGGGATGGAAAGACGGAAGATGGACATGACAAACACTATATGCCCAGGCCATATTCATGGCAGGGCATAACAATTATAAGGGATGTTTTGTTGTGGAAACAGTGAAAGAATATGTTAAGAACACACAGTTAGTAATATTTTGAGATGACAGTTTAAAAATACAGATAAATAAATTGAAAAACAGCGCATTTTTTTGGGGGCACAAAAATATGTATAAATATACATTTTTTTTTTTTCAATGGGTGGCTATCTACCTCTGTCTGTCAATTTTTTTTATGGAGAGCTGCAGATCTGCAGCTACTGTGTAACAAGAAACAAATCAAAAATATAATTTGAAGAGAAATGCCAGGTATTTTAGGCTTATGGTGATGGTGACAGGTACTTCAGGATAACTAGTTCAATTTTTATACATCAAACAAGTTACAAAATGCATTGTAGTGTCGCTCACTTTTTTCTTTCCAGTGATTTTCATTGGGGTTTCTCCTAGATTTAATTTTTTTTGTATATGCCAGTTACTTGGGGGTGAATTTCACATTTTACTGGAAGATGTCACCTCGATTCAGTACTTTCAGTACTTTGATTTACATTAGTAACAAAAATTAGGAATCAACTGACTCCAGATCAGGTCACGTGATTGGACAAAATAGCCACTAAATACAGGGAAAAGTGGCAATTTCTTTTGAAATTTGATGACCGCTGACCATGTTACATAGGTTACACAGTGACTGCTTAATAGAGTTACTATATACTGTATATGGGATAATAACTTGAGGTGTTTATATTTGCTATATTCACAGTGTTAATAAAGCCATGAATTCAAGAAAAAGCGAGTACAGTAAAACTCGTTTAGTACGAACATGGATATAGCGAATTCATGGATATAGCGAAGTTTTTATGGAACCCCGGCAAAATTCTTAACAAATTTTTGTAAAATTTTATGGTTATAATGAACTCTGATATAACGAATTTACGGATATAGCAAACTGATTTTGAGTCCCGTTGAGGTTAAATATAATGAAATTTACATCTTTTATAACGAACCTTCAAAGATTATAAAAAAAATGATAAATTGAGCTTACTTTATTTCCTTTTAGCATTTGTATATAAAACTCAATTCATTAGAAAACCTTAGTTATCGAAGATATGTCTTGTAATATTTGATTCACTAACATAGTTGGTTGTAATACTTGAAGAAAAACATGCATAATGCGAATTCACTATAATGGTTATACGAATTCGTTGTACGGATATAACGAATTACGGATATAGCGAATGAAATTCACCGGTCCCCAGGACTTCGCTATAACCGAGTTTTACTGTAGGTTTTCAATAATTGATTTTTTTAAAAATTGAGAATAGATTAGTCAATACAATAGGTATATGTACATAAGAACAAATGATAGAATGCATGTTACTTAGTAAATACGAGTAATACTTGTAATTCAATTATTTTAATTATCACGCTTTACTTTAATTCAAATAAACAGCTAATAACCTGAACGCCAGATGCTGGGGCCATGAAATTTACAATTTTGGAAGACACATGAGCCTTATTCCACCCTAAAACCAAAACCGGCAAACCAAGGGCCATGAAATTCACAATTTTGAAAGATGCAATCTTGCTCATTTTTATGCCCTGCCATGAATATGGCCAGGGCATATAGTGTCTTCCGTCCTTCTGTCCTTCCATCACACTTTGCGTTTTGCTCTGTTCAAAGCTCAGTTTCAAAGAAACTATGCAAGATCCCTTACAGAAATTTCTGATAAGTGACTTATAAGTGATTTATTCTTTTACTTATAAGTTGTTTATACTGGACTTACACTTCACTGATACATTTAACTTATAAGTGACTACAGTGGAGTCTCATTTATCCGGACACTTTGGTTCCCAGTCAATTTGTCCAGATAAGTGAAGTGTCCGGATACCTGGATCACCAGTTAAAAAAGACAGAGTAACGTTAAAAAATTCCATTCCGATGAAAAGTCGTCCGGATACTGAAGCATCCAGATATCTGGCGTCCGAATATCTGAAGGTCCACT